GTAGCAGTTGACGATGGAGATAGTCTTCATGTGCGTATGTCGTAGGCGTAGGATGGCGAAGCGAGGAGACAGGATCTCGTGAGAATCGACGAGATGGACGACAGATGGGTGTACGACGAAACCAACGCCGCCGACGTTTCGCGATGGAAGCTTTTCACCACGAATGATGAGTGTTCCATCGTTCATTCGTCGCACGTCGGTTCTCCTGCTCTTGGTTTCTTGCAGCGCAATCACATGATATTTAATGTGAGCAGCCGCATCGAGGAGCTCATGGAGAGCGGCGTTGGAAGAGACTGTTCTCGCGTTGTAGGTATAGAGTAGGAAACAGTCTCTGTGTCTTGTGTAGGGAGTGTTGTCATAGTCCAAGATCCAAGGCGCCCTGCGCAACCCGAGATTTCTTCGCCTCTCACCGGTCGCCATACCGTCCGACGCCGGAGACGGCTGGGCCCAGTTTGCGGGGTACTGAGGCTGTTTTATTGCTGTTTTAGCAAGCTTGCCCCCTGGAGTCTCAACATTGCCTTGCCAGGGCCAGTGCTGAGTCTTCACCATCGTGGCTATAGCCATTCTGGATCAGAGGGAGCTGAGGCCTACTCTTAGCCGTTCAGACATGCAGACGTGCCGTTGAACTATTAGATATATATAGATATTTATATAAATATTAATTGAAAAATGATGGAGGCTCCAGCGCAAAACTCCGTCGACCAGTAGGAAATTTGGGCGAGAGTTTTCGGACCATACAAGCCGACATCTGATGGTAGTGACGAGAGCATGTGGCAGGGCGACAGGACGCCTCCCCTTTGGTAGGCGGATATTTCCCCGAGCGAGTCCTGGTCCTTGATCCAGAACGCAGTGATTTAGACGTAACGTACCGGGGCTTGCTGTGCGCAACTTAACGCGAGAAGAACGAATTCAACCGCGACCTCGGGCGTACGGACAAGGGGGACTCAAGCAAGGGGGCCGCCATCCCTTCAGCTCTTCGCACGTCTACCTGACCACAGCTTCGAACGCGAAGCGGCAAGTCGGTCAAGTTAAACCCTCGCATGACTGAAGAGCACTAGAGCTTTGCATTGGAGCTTGTGATAAAATACTAAAAACCAGAAAGATTATTGTTACATAAACAAAACTTTAAAAATCGGATACGCCTACAAGTCTAAACGCCACCCTCCCACCACGTTGAGGTGGTAGACCGTCGGGGGGGGGGCTTTTAAGGTCCAGAAAAAGCAGAGCAAGGACACACACACGACTCAACCTTTCTACTGAAGAGGTTTCCTTCTTTCCGAATCACATCATTGCCTTATCCGACATTGTATTATATTTAGATTATGACCCCGATGACTACTTTAGTGCCGAGCACTGTTCCCAAAGTCGGCAGAGACCACCAAATTTCGTGATAGACTTTTATGAACTGAGACAACACTTTATCTTGCCTGGAGGAACATCTAAAATGCCAACCTTGACAGAATAGAATGGTCCACGCCCGCCTGATTTCATGCAATCAGATGGCAGGTAATAATTATTTATTAACGAGAAAGACATATAAGGAAAGTAGAGCTGTGGCAACAATCATTACAGATACAATGGATATAAACAAAATCAACGGCAGACTAGTTCTGGCGTTCTGTTGGATCACAAGTGCCTAGCCCAGTGGCTGGTTGCCATCCGTCTTTGGAACAAACCACTGTGGCCTGGCCGGTCACCGCATGTGAAGCCATGCAGTAGAGCAAGGCTGTTGTTCCAATTTCAAAATTTTCTTGCCTTCCTGCTTGGATGTAGGTGATCTGAAAGCGGATGCGAGTATAAACCGTTAGCACTGCCAAGCGGACCATTACAGCGTCTTACCAGTCCGTTGGTAGGCGGTGTCAATGGCATGCAGACTCCTGGTAGAGCTTCTTCTCTGTCATCACTGCATTTACCCAGTAACGGTCGAAATACTCCACGAGTGCAGGTGGAGAATGATGGGCCAACCATCCATCGACCAAATGCGCACCTAAGTGCTGCCGTCGTTGCAGGAGCGGAGCCTCTTGAAGTAGAAGTAGTGGAAAATGTGATCTGAAAGCAAATAGGGCTTCAACGAGACCGATATTGGGCTCCAAGTGCTCCTTTTTACCTCTCCCCATGGCGAAGCTATTGGCGCAGAGCAATACTCTCCAACTTCAGGTGCATTTTGTCTGACAATGACAGGTTCAACAGCAGAACGTTGTAGTGACCGCATCAAACAGGTGCCCAAACCTTACCAGTAGAAGTGTGGGAATAGTTTAGATAAACGATACTTCCGAACTAAGAGTGTTGAAAACATGATTTTGATTTCCTTTTCAAAAAATGATCCATAGGGAAAGAGTCTTATGCGTCAATCAATTCTGCTTTGGGATGCGCTGCACATATGAAATTTATTCAGAATCGTAAG